CGGCGCGGGGGGGTGGGGTGGGGGGGGGGGGGGGGGGGGGAAGCAGAGCAGACGCGTCTGGGCTGTCAGCTGGCCGCGTGTTCTGCCGCTTTGCTTCCTCTCCCTGGTCTGCTGGAGACCAGGGAGAAGAAGGGCCCCGTTCGTAACTGCAGATCCGACATAAGTCGGATCCTCGTAACTCGGGGACTGCCTGTATAACATTTGTTGGAGGAGGGGTGGGAGAAAGCCCTGAGCCTCCCCACTGGATACAGCTCGCAGGAAAGTGGAGCTAGAAGCAGCTCTGCACGCTACCACTCCCTCTCCCCAGTGCATGGACATGCTACCTGAAGGTTTTCCCCGCTGCTCCCATTGGCCAGAATCTAGCCAATGGGAGCAGCAGGAGTGAAAGCAAGTAAGTGCTCCCCTTCCCCTCATGCCCAGACCCCTATCTCCCTCACTTCTTCATTCCACCAAAACCCTGCAACCCCAGCCTGCTCCTGTATCCTCAGCCATGGCCAAACATCTACTACCCATCCCTGCTTCTGCACACTCCCCCCAGCCTGCTCCTGTACCCTACCTCACACCCAGACCTTGTACCTTTACCCCCTTCTGTACCCCACCTCCTGTGCAGATCCTGCATCCCTTTCCCTCTCCCACTCACTGGAAGTCCTGCCCCACACACTGAACCCCACATTTTTACCCCACCCCAGAGCCGGGGGGGGTCTACAAAATCCACTTACTCCAGAACCCCAGAAGATTGAATCTGAGCTATGGGAAGCCCTGAACCTTAGCCCTCACTGTTCCTCCCTGGACTGCCATGAGAATGAGGTGTCTTAGTTGGGGGTCACATCAGTGAGAGTTGTGGGGTTTCAGAGGGTTTTTTGGTTTTTTGGGGGTTTTTTTGCTTTTTACTTGTGTGGCCCCCAACTGATTTTGATGTGGATCAGTGGCCCCTGACTCAAAAAAAGTTCCCCACTCCTGCCATAAATAAAGGCAATGGTGAAAGCTTTTGTGTTGGACATAAATTAATATTTTACTTTATTTAAAATGAAGTTTGGTAAACTAACATGAGAAAGATAAAGTGCTTAATCTGTTTTATGAAAGGAAATATTAATCTAAATTATTACTGGCTAAATTTAACCATTCTCCCTATCTGAAGTACTAGCAAAATGGTTTGGGTGTAATTATATAATTAATGGTGAGTTACCATTAGCAGCTGGTGGTCTGCAGAAGGTTTGTATTAAGCCGGGTGGGCCACAGGCCAAAAAGTTTGCAAACCAATGACTTAGTCTACCGTATCAAGTTTAAATTTATCATTTTTGACACCAAAACCCTGTATAATTGTGCCCCAGCCTACATCTCAGGTGTCATTTCTTATTGCTCTAACATTAGTGCCAGCCCTGCAACTTCCTTTCTTTCGTTCTCCCAATCCCATCGTTGAGATTTCTTATATCCTGTCCCTTTATATATGAACTAACCTCCAAAACCAGATATACCAGGCCCTTTCCTTCTTGATCTAAATGGCTTCCCTCCTTCACAAAGTATCTCCGTACCTCCCCTCCATTTGGAAGCATGCACTATAGTTTCTGGGGACTGAGGCTCTCTTGAGACAGTACTGCTCCTTCCCTTCTTTAATAACGTGGGATTTGTAAACCCCACCACATAGTTCTTTTTATTTGCCTTCTGATTTTTGAACCTTTAGTGTCTACCTTAATAATAATTTCAAGCTTTTCTTCACAATCATAAGGGCTAGAAACTTACTTATTTTTTCATGGAAACTGAGATTCTCATGAGATTCCAGTATCTAGGGTCTTAAAAATGCATCAATATCATAAGACTTGTGATAATATCACAGGAATTGCTAACATTAACAGTGACTGGTAGTGTTACCTTTTTTTCCATGTCACTCCCCAAACATACTTTAGATCTCTTCTGAAGACAGCTTGTCAAAGCACTTGGGGAGAGGGTATTTCAGTCTTCATCCTCACTGAACCCTTGCATTCTGAAATAATCAATAAGGTACCAATTGTGAGGATTTTCTTTGGTGACTTTTTTTTCCACTAAGAACAAATCTTGTCTATCAATTTATTGCTGATAAATCAACAAATAGCTAGTGTCACCAATCTGGACCTTAATCACAGAAATCACCAATTGGGATCAAATCTGAGTAGTCATCCTAGATATATAAGGATCCATAGCTCTTTACCAACCTTCTATGCCAACACATCCAGTGACAAAAATAGTATATTGAAAAAGTACTAAACTACTACATTTTATTTTCAGAAAAACTCAAACTAAAATGTTTATCACAAAAACACAGACACTAGTAGGTGAGGGTATGTCTACACTACAAAGTTAATTCGAACTAACAGATAGGCTCTACACATACAAACCGCTAGCTCGAACTTAATTCGAACTAGGTAAACCTCATTCTACGAGGACTAACGCCTAGTTCAAATTAAGTAGTTCGAATTAAGGGCTGTGTAGCCACTTAATTCGAATTAGTGGAAGGCTAGCCCTTCCCAGCTTGCCCTGGTGGCCACTCTAGGCACCACCAGGGAAACTCGTCTGCCCCCATCCCGGCCCCGGAGCCCTTAAAGGAGCACGGTCTGGCTACGGTGCTCGTGCCAGGTGCAAGCCTGCCAGCACCCAGCCAGAAGACCCTGCAGCTGGCACGGCATGAGCCAGCCACCCGCTGCCACCCAGCCCTCCGCCTCTTCCCGGGACCAGGCTGGC